ACAAACTGCCTTGGTGGGTCTTATATCTCACAAGCAGTTCCCATCAAGAAAGACATCAGATAGTAACATTATAAAAGTAAAACTTAATTGGCCTTTGAAAAGGCCAGACCTTGGCTAACCTCTGCCTTGTGTAGAATGTGCTGTTGTCCCGGCTGATTCTTTGTGTTGCTTTTAAGTGGAATTGACTTTTGTCCGGGTGAATGTCCAGCGCTGAGTTAAGGAAGCAGTGAAAGGAAGCAGTCAATCTTCATGAAATGTAAAAATGGGAAGCAGACTCAGATAACAGCAACCCCTTTTCAACACAGTCCAGAATCTGCCTGGCAGATGAGCGTCTTTCATGCATTTAAAACTGGCAGCACACTTTGCTTAATGGAAAAGCTGGTATAAGGTGAGTTAGCTATAGGGTGGACAGTATTGTAGAGCACAAAAGAAGTGCTGCAAGTATCTCAGAACCTGTTGCTGAACCAGAATAATGTTTGAATTGACGCTCTTATTATGGTTTTGAAAAACAGTTCATGGATAAAATTACAGGTGATGAAAATTCTGAGAAAAAAAAGGATTTGACGGAGTCGTTTTCAAAGTACTTAGAAAGCGCTTAAAATAAGGTCCTTCGGACATTTATGCCTTTGGATATGGCTCAACTGGCATCAGAACACAGCCTATTAGGTATCAAACGGACCAGAAGGATGTAATGATGGTAATTAAAACAAGGGTGACGTAAATCAGTCTGGTGTTTCCAACATGTTGGGAGTGGGAACCGCAATTCATACAGAGCAACATATACAGTTAACTGTGCATATCACAGCTGTTAAACAGTGTTAAATGCATAGCTTCATGGCATTGGCTGGAACACATGGATGAAGGAGATACCAAGGGACACTAGGTCAGCTGTGGCCTGCCGTGCTAGACGCTGGGACGCCGCTTGGTGGTTATGGGACGACCTTGTAAACCGAAGGTCCCAATACGGTCCACAAGGGACTTAAAGTATTTATATATTTAACAGGCATTCCTCCTATCAACTACATACATATCTACCGAGTCCAAGTTCTTTTCAAAGAGAAATAATAATAATAATAATAAATGAAGATTTCATATAAACATTTTAAGAAAACAAACATGTTTGTACTAAGTTAGCTGTAGACCTTAAGTAGTACAGGACCAGAAGGGTTTCAATTGTCTGACTGAAATTTTGAAAATTTGTTTGTTTTTTTTTACTAATTAGATATTAGCAGCCATATTAGCAGGAAAAGAGAAGCTCATTTGTATAAATAAGAAAAATTAAGGTTTCTTGCAGTTTGCCACTTGACGTTCTCCTCGGTAAGGATTTATCAGCCTGCACAGTGCCAGCTCTTAACCATTAATTCCGACCCCCTAAATTAGTAACGAAGTTCTAAATTTGGCCGATCGTGACGGACGTTGAAAAGTGAGGCTTCGTTGCTGAATGGTGCTATAATTGTGTGCTTCCAAAAAGCATCATAACCTAGTATAATGCATGTGCTTAATTAAAGGGACAACAAAACAAATGTCAACCAATGGGTTTTGTAATGTGTCACTGATTAGCTGAGGGAATTTGAGTATGGAGGTTTAGGGATGGATGGAGAACTCTCTCTCTTCAGCTTGTATTTTTTGCCACAGGAAGTCCATTAGAAAGGACACAGCTGCTGATACAATAGTTAGGCTTCTGGCTAAGGTTAGTGGATCAGGTCCAAGAAAGAGGTTCCTCTATTGTACTTCACAGCAAGGGATGCAAAAAACACTGATTTCTGTGAAAAAATATCCAGTGGTAAAAATGGATAACATGCACATTTTTTGAAAGCTGCTATGCAACCATGCATCTGATATTCAACATTTGTAAATAAGAATCACGGCAAAGACAGGTGTGAGTAAAGAGTGACACCGTAACTCAGAGCTTCCTGAGATCACAGCCAGATCAACTGGACGACATAAAGATCACCCGAGGTATGCAGGAGAGTGCCTGATTCTGTCCTGACGCTCAGTGCTAGACACACCAGACCCTAACCAGGGGAAAACGTGTACTGAGACTGGCTCGAATGGAGACCTCAAAAGCTACCATCAGCTCAGCCTCCTCAGCAGGCCACGAAAGAGGGGAACTCAACCCAGTCTGGCTGCGGCATGTTTTATTAACAGGTGCATTGCATTATGGATGAGACTGGATGTCGGTTCCCGACTGCCACCCATTTTCCTTAATCCCTCCAAGACAGTTGCATAATTCAAGCACCGGGACACATTGTTCCCTCCAACATCCTGGAATCCACACAGATGAAGGGATCTCACGTTCGGCAGCATATCACTGCGAACCGGAAGACAGGGCCCCATCCTCCCATATCCATGGCGGCACTTTCAAGTTCACCCATTCCAGAATGTTTTATCCTGTCATAAATTACGTAGACTCTTATTCTCGGTGTAGTTACATCAAATCTAATGAGAGTTAAAAGCAATATGTAGTGACATAAACATTAACTGCATTTTTGATTGTCACGCCTGGCGTTTCATGCAGTGTATGTGCTAAATGGTATACTCCCACTGCGCAGGGACTCTCAACTGTATTTCTGCTTTCTTTCAAAAAGTAAATGCTGGCAGGAAGACACACAAAAAACAACCATAACCCTCTTGGTCAAGGGGAAGAGTCAAAATAATCCATCCCTCTATCCATCTGCCACCTATGTATCCAGTATAGGGTCATGAAGAGCCTGGTGCCCCCCCTCCCCCCCACAATTGCTTTTAAGACACTTTAATTGTATCTCTGTTTTTTTTTTTTTTTTTTTAAACTTAATTTCGTACCCCAGTAGTAACAAAATAGTGATACATTATCAATCCCTGTAGGTGAATTCTGTTTTTGCCTGGCCCACCTTGCTCTCCATGAGACAGAGTCAGGTAAGGACAAGCTTGGGGGGGGGGGGCGGACAGTACAGGGTCACTCAGAATGCAGCACCCAGCTCAGGGGCCTACGGATATGTAACTATTCTGCTGAGGGCAGGGCTCGAACCGGCAACCTTCCAATCACAGGCGCCGGGCTCAGCCCACTGAGCCACACACCAGCAATGGAACAAAATGAGCTCTGCAAAGCTCGTTGTAAATGGTAAAAACGCTCCTTGGTTACGCTACACTGAGACTTCTCCTTCACTTAGCTTCATCCCTAACCTCACCCTGAACCTGGCTTGCAACATTTCAGCCTACATGCTTGCATAATCTATTAATGCTCCAGAAATAATAACAAGTAATATTTTACTGATTAGTGCAAAAGCCGTCACTATCAACTTAGGCATCTAAAAGGTATACCTATTATCTGTATCACTATGCTAGGCAGAATGCTATCTCACCCAGTCCATTTTGTCATTGATTTTTAGGGATTTTTTTTTATGTGAAATTGCCATTTCAAAGCAGCTTAAACATCCAGCTATGGTTACTTCAGGAATCTCAGCAGGGCAGGTAATCAAAAGCTCCTGGTGGAACAGGCTCTTTCATTACCTTCCTAATAAGCTGCCACGGCTACATTAAGTATGATTCCTTTACGGGGCAAAATACATGTCCAAAAAAAAAACAAAAGAAAAAGAAGTAATGGAGAAAGAAAAACAAATCAGTTATTCGGTGGTATCTGAAAGGCGGGATATTAATTCTAGAGAAAGGTTTCCTGATTATCTGAGAAATATTGGGTGAGATTTAAATTAGCTGAATATCAAATCCCCTTTAAATGGAGGAATAGAATAATTATTATTAAAAATGATTCCCAATTTAGCCACAAGATTGTATTTTGTCTGGCTCTCTGTGGGAAGTTATGGATGAGAAGCCCAGAGATCCAGAATTTCAGCATAGGAACAAAAAAAAAAAATGTGCGGAACATCAGTGAGTCAGACTCACAAGGCAATAAACAACACGGAAATGTATGCAAACAACAGGGTAGAAACAGTGGCATGTTCACAACGCTGGTGACATGCTGGCTGTCCGCACACCCTCCAGCACTGAGGCCCACTGCACAATAACTGGCTTCCCCAGAGGTGATCCATCTGGAGGAGATCCTATAAGGAGAGGCAAAGACGTGCCTGCCCGGGGGCTTTGCTTGGGGTCCTGGGAGCTACCAGGTGTACCATGGTCTGGAGAACGCTACAGTAGGACCACCTGCATTCACTTAAAAAAGGCAGGGGGTTCGGGGGGGGGGTCGGGGTCCAAGGAGGCAGAACGAATTAACTCGCTATTTTTATGGCTCCAGGGGTGCATGTTATTATACCTATTTAATCACACGTTCCGCAAACTCCATAAATTGCTTTAACAGAGCACGAGCGGCCCGCTTGACCTCGTCAGCAGCCAGCCCCGCTCCGACAAGGCCCCCAAAAGTTATTCGCAATCTCGTCCATGTCTTTGGAAACCATATGACTGCATCGCGCTCCCATCTATGACTTCCCCACATATAATGAGGTGAGACACACACCCCCCCCCCCCTTTCTTCCCTCCAAATTTGGTGGAAGGAGCAGCAACAAATCTTTTTTTGGTAATGGTGATGAGAAAAGGGAAAGATGAATTAAAAAAAATATATTATTTTAATCATATAGTCATGTTACTCTATGGCAAGCGCAGGTTTTAATAAACCATATGCAAGCCCTTTATATCAGGGGGCCAAGCCAGATTTGCTATTCATTTGTAAAAAAAATAAAATAAAATAATGAATGAGGGAGATTTTATAACAGGTTAGTACAGTATAACATTATAACATGAGTTGATGCATAATGGCTATTAAAATACCTCATGACCACTGGTAACATTTTTATATTCAGTGCAGTGAAAAAGAGAGGGTTTCAGCAGAGGATTGTTGCATTTCAATATAGTTATTTGCCCCCCCCCCCCCACAAATCTAACAGCAGATGAAATCAATGCATCTTGCCTACATCTGCTGCAAAGACGACCTAGATTTCTTTGGTTGAGATTTTACCTTTGTGTGTGAGTCACTCACACTGCCACTCATGCCAGAAACTCCAGGTACTTACAGGTGGTCCTTGGAGAGAAAACAGAAGGGAGAGCACCATTACACAAGTGCAGCGAATATCAGCAACAAACTCAGAGAAGCGAAAAATCCCGGTGCCCATATATTACACAGTGACATAACTAAACACAGCATGATTTCTGCAGTGCCCCGATAAATTTACTATCTCCCTTGTCCAGCAAAGGGGGAGGGAAAAAAAAAAAACGGAAATAAACACGTCCGGACACTAAAGTTTCAAAGTCGCCGGGTAGAAAATGCCCTGGCATTATATTTCCGTTTAACTGCAAATTAACAGGAGTATTTATACCCATGGCATTTAGCCTTGGCAACAGTACAAAATTCTCATCCCTGTCTCCTCTTACCGCACTGTTAGCCAACAATGAGACGGATCGCTCGCATTCCGGAAGCATCTACTGCTTACTTGCCGCGACGCCCCACAGCTTGCTTAAACTGTCGCTTGTTTTTGCGAGGTGCCCCTTGCATGCTTTTCCAATTATCTGCACTCAGAGGGGTTGGTACCGCTCCGCGTGGGGACTCTATCAAAGGCTCCTCCAGTTATTTCGGATGTTGGGGGCTTATTAGAAGGGGCAGCTGCTACGCCTTAACACCAGCCGCCTTTTATGACACTTTTTTTTGTTCGTTCATACTTCTCAGTTAGCTGAGGTGCCAAATCGCTGGAGCAGCTGCCCATCAGTGGCCCCGGCGCCCCGTGCTTTCAAGACTGCACTTCAACGCCATTGTTTTACAGCTCGCTGAGTGAGATTACTTATTTCATATCGCGGCCTTTCTAACCTCTCTTAGGGCTCCTCGTGTGCTGTGCACGCGAGCAAGGCTGCTTAATGGACGACAGGATTACGCTATGGCGGCATAAATGGCGCCAGGCCACATGAAAACATGATGATGGACACACCAAAGACAAATTATCCCGGACAATTAATAATGCTGAACGCTGACTGAACTGCCGCTACACTTAGAATACCCCCGACGAACCCCAGTTAGCAAAGCGATTAAATTCAGAAAGCACTTTTGCCGGCCCGTTAGGAATATATCTGGCCGCACTCAGCAGTCAAGAATTTCCAGAATGAAATGCTTGTTATTTTTCCCTGAAATGGAGACAAAATGTGTTCGACATGGCTGACGTCCTGTGGAATTTTTGCTCGTTTGCATAAATTCCCTATTGTTGATGTACGTCTCTGATATCAAGGCACCCCGGAATATTTTATTGTACCCCAATCAAAAGTCGACTTGTGGGGCCAGGATGGTAAACAGACACACAAGGTTGGCACGTTAACCATCTCTATCGAGGCAGGGGTATAGAAATAGCAGGCTCAGCAGTTAAATACATATCTCTTGGCCATGCTAAATACAAAGAACCTCCTCCAGCACTGGTTCACCCCGGTCCCATCCGCAACATGTGGCTGTCATTTAACGAAACTGCAAGCCCTTTGCGGCGCTTAGCCGATTTAATGTCACCAAGGTGCCTATGAGGATTTACGAGCAGCTGGCATACGTGCCTCACGCTAGTGTGTGAAATAGACGCACAAATGATCAGGGTATGCCTTTACAGCTCATACTTGGGCGCCAGTGCTGTGTCATTAATAGCCTCCAAAGGCAACTAAGCTGGTGTTTTCTGCCCTACAAGACTATGCATTTAATTTATCAGGCGGCCCAAACCTTTCTCCAGGGTGCACATGCTTTGGAGCGGCACTAAAAACAAACAACTGACAGCGGTGGCCGCTGACCACCCGTACACCCGGTCTGAGTCGAGCGCTGCTCCACGCTCTGCGGTGCGCAACAGCAGGCTGCCACCGTCAGACTGGGGAAAGCAGGACCGAGCAACACTCTTCCCTTTCAGCCGGTTCACTGAGAACACCAGTGTTCCACGCAGGCCCTGCTCAGCGCACTTGTTTTCTGGGTAAACACCTAGGGCTTTTCTCATCTCCCACTCCCTGCCCCCCCCTCCCCCAACTAACTTGTTTCTCTGTACCCGATGGAAGCAGATGAAAGCCGCGTCTGCTTTCTCAGACGGGCAGCGGATCTAGCTGGGTTTGGGCCGGTTCCTTACAATGGAAACTCTCTGACCATCCAAACACAGGATCTCAGGTTTTGGGCGAGCCCATGTGAATGTTCTGAGGATGGGGACTGAAAGGGAGCACCGGAAAAATAACTTTTCCTCCTCCTCTCCTCCTCGCTTTTATGTGTGTTGATAGATTGAGAGAAGAGTGCCTTAGTCTGCAGATCTGAATCCGTCCTCTATGCTTCAGACTTTATGGAGCAGAGGTATGTGCTCTGCACTTTCATGTGGAGGGTGGGAAATTATTTATGACGCACCCCGTAAAATGTTTCCAAGTACATTTTTTTTTTTTAAATTAGCCAACCATGCTATGCAACCGGAATGACTACCGTTAACTCAGCAGCTCCTGCATCTGTTTCAAGGTAAAGCAATGATCCAGAAACGTGCACAGGTGCCACATAAATTGGCAGAAGGCGGAGCCAAAAATGGAAATTAAGCTGCGGGCTGAGTGCAATGGCACAACTAGAGTGTTTAAAGGGAACTCATTGGTGTCTGGGACAAGGAGGTGGCCTGAGGAATCAAAGGAGACCCTGGACCTGCAGGACCAGTATCCTAGACTCGCACTACAGATTTGGAGGGCTCCCCCATCCTGACATTACTTTGCACTGTGGGACACCCAGGGAATGGGTTGCCAGTCTATCTTTTATCATTTTCCTTTGGTCTCAGCTATCCTGCTTGAAATATTGCAAGTTGCCACATATTGCAGTGCTGTTATCACTCATGGAACAGAATGCCCATCAATCCATTTTTAATAACCACTAATCCTGGCTGGGCAGTGGTAGTCTAGACCCAGGGTGCATGGCAGGTCACACCCTCGAAGGAACGCCATGGCAGAACATGACATTAAATAAAAATGAGTGTTCCTGTTATACTACATGTGATTTGCAACTGGTACACATAATAATGCTGATAAGCCTTAATAAAGGTAAAATATTACAGACTACACTATAACAAATTATTACCAAAAGGGATATTTAGTGCCTGGGTGGCCCGTTAATTCTTCATTCTTCAGGCAGCCTCCAACACAGATATCCAAAAATCAAGCCAGAGAACATAAAGTGTATACGGTTTTAAGAAATATGGATCCTCTTATGTGTGTGACAATAAAGCTGTCATTGAAATCAGCACTAAGACCGGAGTTAAATCTTCAGTGACTTCCTAACATGCTCTTTTTTTGCTTTAACTAAAACCTCATGCTACTATCTTTCTGAATAAAAAGAATCACTTTCCAAACTGTTTCTTATTTTTTTGCATGGATATCTTCGGTCCAAGACGGCTCGCCTAACTGCCTGAGCAATGTCTCTGGCACAGGACATGAGGCTCCAGCAGCCATTAGCCTCCTCTGCTAGCGCTGCGCGTCGCATTTCGGATGCAACGGCTTTGGGATTTATATGTTTTCCTACCATTAATTAGCCCTGATATCCGTCTCGCTGCGCGCGGCTGGAGGGAGCACAGCCACCGGCATGCTCAGACCAGAGGGAGACGGACTCAAATGAACCAGGTCGGCGGGTGAAGCCCACAAGGGAGACTTGGAACATACGGTGACACACCCAAGACTTTCGGAGTGAGACGAGATGGCAAACGGCCACCACTCTCAGACATTTACTTGGAAGTTCCTCCTTGTGTTAGTGCAGTCTACTGAATCCAAGAGGTTCCTTCAAGTGTGCAGGACACCCGGGAGAAGTTGTTTTTTTTGCATTTTATTGTTCTTTTAACATATTATTACTATTTATTGTCCTAATCATGCTGCTACCCTTCATTTTGAAAATGTGGCACCTTTAACTCAAACATGACCTCATGCATGTTCTACACACCTCGACACAGTTTACATAAAAAAAAAACACACACACACACAAAACAGATAAAAAATGTTTTTCCACAAATGAGGACCCTCTGCAACATGCATGTGACCCTTACCATTCTCCCCATCCCTGCCTCGTCTTCCTCTCTTCCCCGGAGGACCTGAAAGTCAAAAAGAGACTGTTAATATTTTCATCTAGGCAGATATTATCTGCTGCATTTTTAAAATGTTTTCACCACTGACCTTTACCTCTTAGCACATGAGGACCAAAAGCTTTCATTCAGTAACTTAAGAAATGCTGCATATTGTATTACAGTGTACTTGCATATATTTGCTCTGGGGACGTTTCACCCCATTTAAATGTGTAAGAAAATGAAAACAGTGCGGACTACGCACCATCTCATTACACTGTTTAATTTACTTTTTTTTTTTTTTTTGCTTCGATGAGCGTTCTCCCATATGCCTTACGCAAGTAACATCAGTCTTTGCATGCTTACTGAGAAAAGAGAGACAATTACACGCATCATTAGCTTTTTATTGCTCGCACTGGAAACCGGCGGCCTAACGCACCAAGGGACTGCAGCCCTTAGCGCTGACCAGGCCTTTGGAGAACGTTAAATCCGGCGTGTGGAAAACCGTCTGGCTCCCCCCCCCTTTGCTGAGGACAAGAAAGAGGGAGCCACCAGAGGAATGGGAGGAAGTCCAGATTTTTGGCCTAGACAGAGTGGACTACAGTAGCTTCCAGTGAAATGTCAATAGCTGGTGCTGGGCTCTCTTTTAAGTGCTTAGAGCCTAAAATGATTCCCATATTCTACATTTGTCCATAGGTAAGGAACACAGACACATACAGATCCCGGTTCTGTGTGCTGAAGATATCTTACGCATCATTCAATAAACATGGTTAAAAACACATGAATATACAAATAATGCTCATGCGACATAATGAAATAGATACATATAATGGAACATAACATATCAGCCGTGTCTCTGTCCCTGTGCTGTCCGGGACAGGTTCCAGGTTCCTGCACAGCCCTAACCAGAATAAGCGGTTAGAAAATGGATAAGAGTCTGAATATGTCACATTTTTCACGTGCAAGATTTTTGTACATGACCACTATGTTTTTTTAAAAAAATTGTTTTGTTTACTTTATGAATTGGGGGTGCAGTGGTTAGGATTACCGCTTTACACCTCTAGGACCAGGATTTGAGTCTTCAACCCCGGCTGTGTGTGTGTGCAGTTTGCATGTTCACCATGTGTCTTCGAGGGGTTTCCTTCAGGTTCTCCGGTTCCCCCCCAGTCCAAAAACATGCCAAGGTGAACTGGAGTTGCCAAATTGCCCATGTGTGAATGGTGTGCTCACCCTGTGATGGGTTGGCCACCTATCTGCGGTTATGCCCTGCCTTGTGCCCATAGCTTCCAGGACAGGCTCTGGACAAGGTGGTATGGAAGAGAGATGGACTTTCTGAATGAAGCAACACAAACCTAATATAGCTAGCTGATGTTAGATTTAACCGGTGAAATCGAACACAAAAAGGTGAGCTCTGCCCTGCTAATATAATTTAAAAGTGGCTCGATCAAAAAAATCGCACAAAACCTTTTTATTCTCATAACACATCATGACTGAAGCACAAAATGGCAGGTGAAAACAGCAAGGAATAGTGAGGGAAATTGTTTTTTTAAATAGCAAAATATTTACTTTCATTTACATTTCACTTTGTCATTTATTTATCTGGCACCATACTTAGATAATGGCATAACTGAGAACTCTGAAACGAGGATCGATATTCGGAGAAACGAAAACCGGTAATTATCAACCAGCGAAATCAAACTCTATCCAAATTATCATTGTACACCATCCTTTATAATATGTTAATGTCACATGCTAATCAAAAGACTTCGCGGGTAGTTTTGAAGAGTGAGAGGTAATAATCTACGAGTGGTGTGGGAAGACGACAGGGTACACCAGACAAAAAACTGAGAAGGAACATACAAAATGAGAAAAAAAAACACCAAACCTTGTCGGCACGCTGTCCTTGTGACTAAAAAAAAAAAGAGCGAGGGTTTGTGAGCAGAATACGGGGGAGGCGAACGGTTTCCGGGCGGCACGGTGTCAGGTCACACGCTGGGGGCGCCGACTCCGGCTTAAAACAACAAGCCCGCGTCAATTAACAGCTGCTCGAGGCGGCACGCGGCTCCCGCGCGGCATCTGGAAGGAAGCGGGCCAGAGGCTCGGGGCAGAGTGCGTAACCGCGGCGCCTTTCATCACGCGCCACGGTGAAAGCCTTTCGGCAGCCCCTTTCTCCCCGGTGCTCGCGGTTACACCGGCTGACAGATCCCACGCCACTGTAATATATATTTTTTCACCTTGCTCCAGGACTTGTGCACTTTAAACGTATATCATATTTGCGACCACTTTGTTCTTAGATTTTTTGATAAGACATATATTTCTTTAAAATACTGCCAATATTTTAAGAGACTGCTTTTGATATTTAATATGCACACGTGCCTATTCGTTTTCATCCTTTTAACTTTTTAAAAAAGGTGTCCCGCGCGAATTTGTTACATTCTCTCTCATGAAAGCAAACGACGTCATCGCCACCCATCATCCCTCGGCATCTAACTGTTCATCGAATTGCCAGATTAGCCCGGAATACACAAAGACTTGTTTTACTGGAACTAAGTCTACAGATATAAATCTTACGCAGTTTTGGCGGGGAAGTTCATCACGATGTAGCTGGAGAAACAACTGCCCTTCCTTCATTTAAGGGAATTAGATCAGCTTTAGATAGTCAGTTTCAATTAAGAGTTCTACAACTACATGCCCAGTACCAAATAATAGTGAGAAAAGAGAAAAGCCTCTCCTTTTTTTTAATGACCCCAACAAAAAGCAAAACTGATTTCATGTCTCTACTTCCCTGCCCAGAATGACTACAAAGCAAGTTCTGTTTCTCATGTGGTACACACACACACGCTAATATCAACCGAATAATTTACAGAAGTCTTGTAAACACTCAGGCTTGTCTTCCTTGTATAACATTAACTGCCATTACTGTGGTCTTTGACGCTGCTCTTAATTTGGTTCAAATCGGCTCGTAATGCTGCCGCTAAATTTTTTTGTCTCGTGTTCCAACCCAGCCATGACGGGCCCAATAAAAAAATATCTTATACTCATTTGAATTGAATATAAAAATTCAATCGCTGTGCAGACAGCCCTTTACGGATACATAATCCAGGTTTTAACACAAATCGAACTTGAGGACAATAGCCCTTTACTGTAATATAAGCAGCTAATCCTGCTGTTCTTCCAGCACATGTGAATTTTCCATTGGAATTTCTGCAACCGTACAAGACCATAAAGAATGGTTTCTGTTATGTCTACCAAGTGACCAGTTCAGCCTGCCTTGAGGCGCAAAAGTACAATGGCGAACTGCTTTTCCATTCAGTAAGACAAGTGTTTAATGCCGTTACCTGGACTGCCTTTAAATATAGAAACCACACTGTGTGCTGGAAAAAAAGCACATCTTTCTGAGATCCTTTTTCTTGGGTCAGAAACATCTGTTAAAGAGCGGACAACCTTCTGGCAGGTCGTGAACGGACAGAGGCCAGTGTTATAATGGAACTGACCGATGTAACTGCGGTTCGGCCAAACGGAATCAGGCCAATTCTCTACACAGAGAATACAGCAGGTCCCTAACCTGGGGTAAGGAACTATAAACATCCTATAGTGCCAGAATGTGTTTGGTTTGAACAACTCTCAGTCTGTCAGTACAGGGAAACCAGCAGGATAATTACCTGAAGAAAATAACTATTGTGAGCTCACAGCACATTGAATGCCAGCTGCTCTCAGGCCAGAGTGATATGTTTGTTTGCATTTAATTGCTAATAAGCAACCTTGCACGAAATAACTTCTTAAAGGGTTATGTTTATGTTCCTCAAGGGTTTAGATTAGGCTGATTTTTATAGAGGGCTGTTCAGAAGGAACGTTGCTATAGATAGAATTAATCGTATTTTTTTTGCCTCCCAACCTGATGCAGCAAGACGTGGAATCTCAAAGAATTCAGTTCCATAGAGTCCTGATATGATCGAGAGTCACGAAGGGCAATATCAAGTTGAAAGATAATTGCCGAGTTAGGAAAACCATTCCGTCGAGCTCCCGGTAAAAGCCAAGGGCCGTTACTCACGCTTGTGTTTAAGACTTCCTGTGATGTCTTCATAAGCACAAGGCACGATGCAATGATCCACAGGCAATATGGGATCCATTAGGAAACCATACAGCTGAACTCTTACTGAACAATGTCTTGGCTTGAGCAGATGAGGCGAAGAATGTGACCGAGATGATGATGAAGAATGAGATTATGGGGGGTTGCACACTGGATTTGAAGGAAAACAAGGGACATCCATGGAAGGTGCCTCCATTCACCACTCAGCTGGCTACAACAAGCAGCCTAAAACCCCTGTCCAACCCTCCCAGCACCTCGCATGTCTGGACCGAATCTTTGCAGTATACATTCATAGTACAGAAACACTTGGCAATGTGGCAATGAAATTAAGGCGCATAAATGCTCAGCTCGATAATGAACAAATACATGAATACAAATCCACAATGTTATCCAGTTAACCTCAACTTCATTGGAAAAATGATTATTTTTAAAATCCTAGCTATTGTTAAATGCTTGTTGTTCTGCTTCGAATGGTAGTACTATGCCAAGGCAGGTCTTTATTAACTTATTTCTTTGGGCCTTAAGGAGCCGCTAATGTTCCTACGACACACAAACAAGATGGTGGTGAGAAAAATAAAATAAAACAAAGTGGGCCTTGACTTTCTCTGTCATGCTGCGTCTCAGGAAAACACAATCCAAGTTTCAGCTGTTGCTTAAAAAGAAATCGTGCTGCTTCTCTGTTGTAAAGAATCCACAATCACCTAATTGAGAAACATAACAATAGGATGGCAACACAAACACACACCAGGCACACAAATGTACAATGCTATAATGAGACATTTTGCCTTTGTCAGTGGTAACAGCCCGGAGCTGATGGCAGAACCACACCAAACCGTTTCTCCTGAGCTGCTTTTCAATTGTACGACTCTTAATGTTTCTCGGAACCATTGTGGTTTTATAAATCAGCTCTTTTTAACCCTTAAGGCATCATTAAACAGCG